TCAGTCGATCGCATATCGACAAATCGTCCAGTGTTCGTCGACATGCTGCTGATGTTAGTGCCATTCTTAAAATGACAGATTCATGAAGACCTCATCGTTGACATGAACTGCTTTTTAGATTCACGAACAGATCAGTCATGAAACAACCAAATCAGTCAACCAACTGCTCATTCGACTGAATTATATTCATGGCTCACCTTTCTTGCTGCGTTGAGTTCAACTGATGTGGGTATTCAAGGGCATGTATGAATGATTTAACCAGATTTTGTCGCTCTTCAGACACTTTCTGAGCACACATCCACTGTACCAGACAAACAATCATAAAATTTGCATCATCACGAAATGCATGCAATACATTCTGAAACGTGAACAGTTATCATTGTTCAGCTCAATTTTCATTCAATATCAATGCCAGTGATCTATTGGCTCATTCGTAATAATGATCCATTGATGAAGACAACAAAATTGATTCCGCAAGCACAAACCTTGATATTTTCATTCAAATGTTCGTAGCTCTCATGTTTCTTGATTCGAAAATCATCCAAGAGAATCTCGCCGATATACGGCACTGAATCAACTAATTCCGCGTAGTCAACACTGCAAATGCAAATGCAAAAAAAGAAACTCATTTAGAATTGTGGCAAAGAAACTCGTCCAACAACGAAACAACAAAGACTGAAACTAAAATGAACAATGAGAATAATAGAACTAACGTTCTTGGATCCCAAAATGGCTGCGCGTTCTTCAAAAGATTGACTCTGTCGACGAACGGCGCCTTATCGTCACTTGTCAATGGACTTGCTGGTGCCGTACTATCCGCAGCAGTCCAACCATAATTGGAAGCAAATTTGAAGAAACACGATTGAGTGTTATCCATCGCACGACCTGACCCATTCACAAGTTCACTGGGACGCTAAAAATCGCAACAAAAAACACTGACAATGAGCGAGAAGCATCTAAAAAAGTTTGTAAATTACTCATAATTTTTCTATAAATGATAATGAAAACTTACCAAATCATTGTAAATGAATCGCATTCGAGTTAACAAAATAAACGACAAATTGAAAGCCAATGCTCGTTGCCTTCCATCATCCATATCCACACCTTCTGGTGGATGTTCACTTTGACCGTTTATCCTAAAAGCTTTATCTTGAAATCAGTGCATTGAAAAAAACACATACAAATTTGACAATGAAATACCGGTTACTATTCAATTCAGGTTAATTTCAGTACAAACGGAAGTGTATTTTAATGTATAATGAATGTTTATAATATGAATACAAAGAGAACAAAGAAAGGCATTCACATCGCAAGTTTCGAACTGAAATAAGTGAGATTTCCATCGGCGCAGAACGATGC